TATGGTTTTAAATCGACTTTTGAAAACTCGACATTACTTTTTCTGAAAGTTAAAATTTAAGCGTTTTAAAAAACATAGGTTATATATTATAGATAAAATGAATCAACCGTTATTCTTTGTATATATAACTTAGACTATTGTGTTGATGTCTTTTCAAAATTAAAGCCTTTTCGTAGTTAGAAGGTATTTTAAATGAGTAAAAATAACCCTGTTATCATGTTCAACGATGGATTAATAAATCAAAGCTCATAATTAATTGGTTAGATAAATACAAATATAACATAACACGTCTGTCTTTAAAATATTATGCATCTGAATATTATCCGTAATTTGCAAACTAAGACATATTCGAATTTATTTTTAAGGAAATATAATAAGTATGTTACCCAAATTTCTAGCAAGAATCCTTATTCTAGGCACATCACAATTTACTCGCATAGGTATCGCGAATATACATTTATAAAGATATGTAGTAAAACAGATGAAATCATACTATATTTATAAAACTAAAAAAATGGACAAATTGAATGTAAACATTTTTTTTTAATTACGTGAATTGGCCAATGATAATACAAAAACAAACGGGAAAACCCGCTATTATTTCAAAACTATCCACAATAGCATACAAACTAAGAAAAACGGAAAAACTAAAGAATAGGGAGAACAAAGAGAAAACAAGGATTCGAACGTAAACCGAGAAGTCTCTACTTCTAACTTGACTCTATTACTCATGGATCTTAACCTCACGGCTACCAACTTATACTATACGAATGTCTATCATGTATATATAAAGGTACACATCATGTGTGTCCGTTGTACCGATTCGTATTACATATTGTATATGTCCATTTATATCTGTAAAATAGACATCTAAATTGCAACCCATTGGTAGCCGAGAGGTTTCGTCGATGTGTTTATGTCAGTCACAGATAACAGATTTCAAAGAGGGGTTTGATTCCCAGTGAAGGCATATAAAATTTACAAAAGTTAAAGGTAAGTTTTTTAATTAATTCCATCAGTGAACAGAAATCGGTAAATAAACCAATTCAAACTTAATGAAATTAAGCACACAAAGGAAACAATTGAATATAATCGGGTGAGTCCATTTCAGCGACAGATTTAGGAAGCGTTGATTCTAGAAAAAGATTCCACGGTAATTGAATAGGCTGCCGTCACGGCAATGGTTTAAGTTATATAGATACAAGGTATAAGCGTTGATTCTTGAAAAAGAAACCATGAACCCGAAGGGCGAATGGTTTGCTTTTCATGAATCAACGCTTATCCATTGTATCTATAACTTAAACTATTGTGTTAATGTCTTTTTAAAAAAAAAGCCTTTTCTTAATTAGAAGGTATTGTAAGTGAGTTTAAATAACCATTTTATCATGTTCAACGATGCATTAATAAATCTTAGATCACAATTAATTGGTTAGAAAAATACAAATATAACACAACACGTCTGCTTTTGAATTATAAGTCATCTGATTATAATGTGTGTTTACAAAATAAGACATATTCGAACTTATTTCTAATTAAATTGAGAATTGAAATGGGAAATGTGTCAAAGAGACATCCACCCCACCTAAGAGCATATATTAAGTATATATGAAGTATGTTACGGAACTTTCTAGCAAGAAGCCTAATTCTAAACACATTACGATTTACTCGCATAGGAATTTGCGAATAAACATTTGCAAAATAATGTAGTAAAACAGATGAAATCATACTATATCTATAAAACAAAAATGAACAAATAGAATGTAATCATTTTCGTTTCAAAGATGTGAAATAGCCAATAATAATCCAAATATATACGGTAAAACTTGCTATTATTAAAAACATATCCACAATAACATACCAAATAAAATAAAAAACAGGAATACTAAAGAATAGGGACAGCAAAGAGAATACAGGGATTCGAACCTAAACCGACAACTCTGTATCTTTAACTCAGTGATCTTAACCATGCTAACCTCGCGGTTACCAATTGCCTATTATGTATATATAAAGGTGCAAGCCCTGTGTGTCCGTTGTACCGATGTATATCATATGTTCATTTATATATATAAGATAGACATCTAAATTGTAACCCATTGGTAGCCGAGAGGTTTTGTCGATATGTTGATGTCAGTCACACATAACAGATTTTAAGGACGTGTTCGAATCCCAGTGAAGGGTTATAAAAATTACAAAAATTAAAGGTAAGTTTATAAATTAATTTCATTGGTGAACAGAAATCAGTAAATTAGCCAATTCAAACTTTATGAAATTAGGCACACAAAGGAAACAATTGAACATAATTTGATGAGTCCATTTCAGCGACAGATTTAGGAAGCGTTGATTCTAGAAAAAGAATCTACGGTGAATGAATAGGCTGACGTCACGACAATGGTTTAATACGTGTTAGCCTATGATGCGCAACTCCATCATAACGTATGGTTTTCTTTGTCTCAGATACTTACCTGGATTCAAATATTAATGGATTGATTGTTGTTTGCTTAACGCCAGTGACAGATATATTTAAGCATATTTGGTACAAATACAAATAAACAATATAAATCTAATGGACAGATGATGTAAAGTCGGTCGCAAAGGATGAAGGGTCACAACTCGTCAAACACAGTCCTGTATTCATTAACTATTGGAGTGAACAACACGCCAACTTAATACGAAATAAATAAGGTGCTTGTAAACGGTAAACATCTCTAGATATGCTCGCATCACGAATCATACGATTCCAAAGTTTCATCCAGTAGTTCGTTTCAAATATTACAAATAAGACGTAACAGTAGTTACCGAAATTTTTACGGGCGTTATCACGAATTCGTTGACAGTTCAGGAATATTTGTGTCATAGATAACCACGGATATACTTGCACATGTGACAACACTATTTCGTCCTCCTTTTATCAATATGAAATTACAGAATAAGACTCATCACCGAGTTCTTAATAACAATGAGCAACATGACGGGTGGCACTAATGGAGCAGGATCTGCTTACACTTCCGTAACACATGAGATCCCTCCAGGTTTTGGTGAATTCGTGTTGCTAAGTCTTTAGTTTTCTATGAACTTTCTGTGAACTTGTATGTGTTTTGGGTGTTTAATGCCATGGCGTTGTCAGTTTGACTCGACTTAAGAATTTTTAAAAGACCCTTTGGTGATTTCTTTAAATCAATGTTCAAGTCGCACGAATTCATTTTTTGCATGCATATCACAATAAATTTTAAAAACAATCTGAAGGAATCGCATGACCTCCGAAAGGAGTGAAACCGGCTGAGTCGACCGGGTATGCATTTAGTTTTAAAGATGCATCATAAGCAATGTAAAATCTTAATCAGTCAAAATGTCGCAATCGTGGAGATGACAGATTCAGCAAATTAACAAAGCAGGCGACTATTCTGGTATCCAAATATCTAAGACCGCTTAAGCATGTCGCAAAGGAGTTGTGACACACATCCTCCACCAATTCATGATGGTGACCGTACAACTTACGCAGTTTCGATTTTAGTCGTTCTTCTGTACAACTCTTTACCAGCAATTGTTTTACCGGGAATTCAAGACATGACGCATAACTTCTCGTTTCGGTATATCCATAATACAATAACAATGTTACAAGTTTAATTGGATATGTTATATGCTAACACCAACTATAATGTTGGTTACAAGAACGTATTGAGTGACAGGATATCATCAATATATCTGAAAGTGAAAATAGCAAGATCCAAGTAAGATGGGTTTTTTTTCAGTTTGTCTAAGAAAATATTGTGTATAAATTCTGTTCAAATGAGTGATTATTTGTTGTTGGAATTAGTCATGTAAGTGTAGCACCTCAAACAGCAAGATACTTTATGACCTAAAACAAGGATCCTGTTTCAACGTGTCCCTTTATTGTACATGTACAAAAACACTGTCTTATTAGAAGATTCAGTTCATCTTTTAAACTGAACATGGTGAATAGTATTTACTTAGCGTAGAGCGTTGATATTGCTGCAATATTGTAATGATTGTGATTGTGATTTTATCTTAAAAGCATTTTTTTTTTGTAAATCCAAACCAATTTTACACCATCGATTGAATATACCTCATCACAATATTTTTGATGGACATTTTTATTGTAGAAAAATGGTAGTAAGAACTTTAGAAATGTAATGAGTTGACTATTTTGTGTTTTTTTAAAACATTGTTGAAAGGATTTTGTAAGTTAATGTATCGAGTAAAATGACGGGAGACTTTCAACGTACTTTTATATGTTACTACCAAAGAAGAGAAGGACGGAAATTTGATTTACCAAATTCCCATCATTCGTAAATCAAGTAGGGGTAAATGTGGGGAAAACGACGACACAAACACAAATTTACAAAATATTACTCAGAAAAATAACGTGAATTCAACCAAGTATCCCGGGTGAAGTCAAATGATCGGAAAGGGGAAGCTGATCGTGTTGCTGATGGCAAGCATACATTCCGTGATATCAAAATCGAATAAAGGAAGACGGGATCTTTGCTACGTCAATTGGATTATATGATGGCTTTCTTACATGTGTCTTCAAATTTACCATTAGGAACCTTTGTTGTTTGCTGTTAATATTATCAGCCTGTATGACATTAGTGAGAAACTCGCAAAATAATTAGTTCCTTTGGAATTTTTTAAAAAAACGACCTTTTATTTTTTTTATTCCAGTGTCACTGATGAGTATTCAGTAAATGAAACGCGCATCTGGTTTTTAAAAATGATAAGCCTGTTATCTTGATGACTTTTTAAAACATTTTTTGCACAGAAAATAACCAACATACATGAGTAGTTAACAAACTCGACAAATAATTATAATAATTATTTTTGTTTACTTCATTTGCGATAAACGATCCTTCCTTTTTAAATGAACATTTTTCTTCTAATATATTTCAATGAAAAATTAGAATAACAATGCACATTATTGCATGTATGTATATTTAACTACAATGAACAACATAAAGTATAAACTTCCTTGTATCGAATTACCCGTTTTCATTAAGACACGTGAAGAGGTATAATTTCTTACAAAAATTACATTATGGAATATTAAAACAAAATCATTTGAGGAATACGTCTGCGAATATTTAGTGCAGGAAATAGTTAGTACGCCAAAAGTGAGTCAAAAGTATGTATAATTTTAGTGTCAATTATGTTTAGTAATTTTCATTGAGATTAAAAATGAAATTTGCAATATTTCTTGAAATATCGTGTAAATGCTAAGTTGTCTCTTTCGAAATTGAAAAACAAAGTATTTCGTAACGTTTTATAAAGATTCTTACCAATTCGAAAATCCTTTAAAAAAATCATGCAGTTAAAATATAACGAAAACAACGAAATAAAAAACCAATAGAATATACCTGTATTAAATTACCAACTTTCTAAGTAATTATAATACATGAATTGCTGTTTATTGCATATCTTTGATGATATGTGTGCTGCGTCTTCATTGAGGTAGCACCTGAATTATTTTTATTTCTTTATAAATAAAGGGTACAAGTCAGGTCTTAGTTATTCAAAACATTTAATAATTTAAATATCTAGGTCAAACAAAAATTAAAATAAACAATACATTACTTCCTTTATGAAATTTTGGAAAATTGTGGTTAAAGTGGTCTTGTGACTGCATACGTAACGACATCTGATTAGATAATCTTCCGCATTAAAAACTGAGTTAAATGTTAAGTGTTAAGTAGATACCGTATAATACACAGTAGTTGATCACGTACTAGTATAAGAATGAGACATATAAACACTATTTGTATGTGTTGATTAAAATTCGAAATATTCGATAACGCTGCTCGTAGATTATCAGTCCCTACTCCGACAATCCACCAGTTCTTCGGAATAATTTATTTGCAGTCACAATTGCCAGCTCATAAAGTTATATCATTTTTATACAATTATGGTAATAGCTTAGACAGGCAATCCAATCCAAATATTATTCCGATCTAATCATTACTTTCGAATGCTTTTCTTAAACAGCATTGTATATTTCATATGTTTTGGCAACATTTTAACACAAAAGACATCGTTAAAAAGTTAAAAACAACACCTGTCTTTATTTAACGAAATTTCGTATAATTGCAGGTGTTGAGCATTTTACCGAATGTGTTCTATTCCCAATTGTGATTTTTTGCCTGAATGTGAATGCACAATGTAGGTGATGCATGTATAGTAGGAAAAACTTACCCTGTCGACGCATCATGTCTTGTTCTTTTTGTAGTTTTTTCGATTCCCTAATTTTTCGTTTGTTGCTTTGACTTGTCTCTTCCTAATCATTTTACTAGATTTGAACATTGGTAAACAAATGTCACCTTAAATTGGAGCGTTAAACGTGTGATTCAATGGTCACATATACGCCGTCATGATGTTAAAATTCAAACTACACACAATACGGAGCTGTAATACAGTGAATTTGGGGAAACAAAATTAAAAGAAATCTTAAAAAACAAGAAATAAAAAACATACAAATACGGCCGTGGTGTCCATTATTTCTAGGCCAAATTGTGACTACCTCTTTTTCAAAATTCTTTTTTTCGTACCATGGTAAAATGTATCGTCGATATGAAAATCGTTATGTTATCAATATCCATCAGTCACGACTGAAACTGCATATTATGTTCATAATAAATCACACAACTTATGTCATCAAGTGTAATGAAATCTTGATCAGTCATGGTTGAAAAACTGTGTCACATATGATAATATAAGCGATAAACAGTTGTGATTGGGTATCACATCCGAAGTAAATAACAAGACCTATTAAGTGATTTTACTAATTTTCATAACTTGTGACGATATTCATAGCAGTCACTGCTTAAACTTCGTATTACACCCATAGTAAATAACGTTATCTTTATCATCTAGTGGAAACATATCCATACCAGTCATATTGAAAACTCTCATACATCGAAATTCACATGCATTATATTATCAATAGTGAAGATATCAATATCAGTCATAGATTGATCGTATTGTCGGTAGTATCAAAACACGTAGCTTATACCATTAATGTAAAGATATCCATATAAGTCACGGTTTGATCTCCATGTTGTCCATTGTAGATGACATGACCGACATGAATATCATAATATGTGATAATATCCATTATATCAGACACGCTTTAAACTCCGTAGCACAGCGTAAGACATGTTGCAGACACCTTACCCCACTGCCTAAGACAAGCAGTAACATTTGAAAAAAGTTATCTCGTCATTTACAATGATCACAGGCAACCATGTTTATCTTATGTAGTGATGGATAAAAACATTTTATATCTTTATATGAACATTTATTCATTTCAGTGATTTGGTTCATCATTTACTGTGTATTCAGAAGAATATAATTGCTGGTCCTCATGGCGTACTTTGATAAAATATAGATAAAAAAGGGGGGCTAAAGAAAGAATTTTCCACAGAAATATGAATTTGATAAACATTTCTATAATATATATAGGTGTGATACTGTATTCAGGGGAACAGCTGATGACGACGTAAAACACAGACCTCACTCATTCGACGTTTCAGAGTCTAATGCATTCTTGGTAATATTTCCAAAAGTGTATACCAAAACGTCGTGATTTGTTAAAAAAAAGTCCTATACAATGGAAATTCATCCAATGACGTGACGTTATTTTCATTTTTGGGTACGATCAATTAAATCATCCAAATTGTCCTTTAAATTCTTGAACAACGAACAGTGTATAATTTATTTCATCAATTTACCAAGTTTAGGTAATATCGTAACACATTATTCCATTAGAAATTGCTATAATATCAAGTCTTCGTCAACCTATAGTGGTTGCCTGATTTGAGTTATTCGTTATTGCTTCGTGTATAGTCTTACAAATACGCCTTTATACCGACATTTTCATTGACGTGACCATGTGTCTAGCATAAAGATGGTCGCTACTCTTGTTTTTGACATTTTGTCAGATATTCAGAATCCTCTAGTTCTATCCATGTAGTGCCAATAAAACAAAATTGCCCGCTATCCCCTACTTTTCTTTTCATAATTTTATTACATATAGTTTAAAAATCTCATAAAATACTTGTTATTTTTTCATGGTTTTTGAAAGAAAAAAGGTGCCAACGTTAAATGTATGAAAAATCTAGATAGAATCATTTCCCGCCAAATTTCAATTGATTATATCTCAAAACCAAGGACACGGACCTACTATTATTTATCTGTGAAACAAATATTCCGTAACAGTCAACCAACTCGTGATTGCGACCGTAAAAATTTCGAAAGGCTGACTTCATATTCACCACTTGCATGTACCAAGTCAGGAATATGTCAGTTGTTTTCCATTCGTTTGATATATTGAGCTTTTGATTTTGCCAATTGTTAAGGGACTTTCCATTTTGAATTTTCCTTGAAATTCGGTATTTTTGTTGTTTTACTTTTTGGAACTCTTTGTTTAATTGCTTCCTTGTAAGCAGCAACCCTCTATCAAGGAAATCATTAAAGGAAATGCAAGCTCTGGAATATCGTATCACCTGAGAGATATATACTACATATGCAGGCGCTGTATCCGTTTTTTTACAGCTATCCCTGTCTTAGTGAAAATGGTCAACTACTAATATCGTCATGTATACTGCCAGTACAGTTCTGCTGTGCACTTATGGTCCATCATCATAGAAAGGTTTGCAATTTTAGAAAAAAACAACACCCCCCCCCCCCCCCTCAGAATAGTTTTTCCTTTTTAACTTATGTAAGCAATTTTTCTTATGTTGTGCATTTGCACCCACTTCCCGTATGGAGGGACAATTTTAACACCGTGCCTTTCACTAGTCAGGGGCAAGTTATCAAATGATTGCCGTCTGTCATAACTGTTTTTCGGTTACTATTATTAGCTTAAATCGGGTTGTAGACTTTTTCCGAAATAACCTCGTCCCGGGAAATGTCATAGCTTGTAATACGGTGACCTGTAATTGTCTATAATTGTCCTTTGGTTTTTGGTATAAGTGTCTTATTGGCAATCATATTACATCTCCTTATTTCTATATTAATTCTCATTTACTTTATATTTGATAATTCCATATCGACCCATACAGATCAATATTACTTCAAGCAAATCTAACTGCATTAGGGAACAGACCCTCTCGTTTCAAAATAGTACAAATGGAAGTGGCAGTTGATAAACCGATATTTGAAAGTTTTGAAGGTTATCTGCTGTCCGGTCTCAACATCAAATAAAAGCAACGTCATGATAGTGTTACCGTATAGAAAAAGCTTTAAAAATCCATAGACTAAATAATTCAAATTTAATTATCTGTGCCAGATCGATATAAGATTTTCCACCCTGGAATCAATGTAATTTTTGTTACAATATACTGAAAGTTTAATTTCAGGAAAGACTGTCATAAAAATAGAAAATATCATAATTTTCTAAAAATAGCACTCTGGAAATTTACATACGTATAGTATGATCCGTAATATAAAATGTATCATAGTACTTATGATTTCAAACAAAATCTGTCATCGTATAAAGATATCACGTAAGTAGTTACATAGAGAATTGTAATGGTCTGAAAAAATCATACATGTACTAGCAGTAATTTTTCATTCCTTTTTTTAAAATGCATGTTTTAATTATATTTGAGGTGCATGCCCTTTACGTGCTAAATAAAATTGTTATTTGAACTATCTATTCATATTTCCATACACGCATACCATATAGTTGTTGAAGGTTTTTAAATTTACTTAATTAAATTTCATTAAATCCTTCATTTTCAATTCCAATATATATGGAACTTATAAAAAATATATCATTATAACATGTATAAATGGAATCACGCGAAGGTTAATATCACTGTACTGACATCAGTGGCTAGTTTTGGCGATCTTGACTGTTTTATGACAAAGAAATCACTAATAAAAAAAGGAGAAAGAAGATGATATAGGCATTTTATATACCCGAGTATAACGCGTTTTTAAAGTAAAATTGTCTCTAAAATCTTACGAAGTTCAATATTTTAATTGACTGTAAACATACTGATCATCTATACCTTTAATATTTTGTAACTTGATCATACTGTATTACACATAACCACACTATATGTATTCAGGAGTAAACTTCCGGCTTCGTAATAAATGTGAAAAAAAATATAAACATTTTATTTTCTGAAAATTATAATTGGATACTTGACAGGTGTGTAAACAATTGTTGACAGTTGATAATAAACCACACAATGTTAACTGATACCCTTTATAAAACGTCATGATACTATTTATATATCGTGTTGCATATACAATATATAATCAATATTACAAAAGATACATCTCGATTTGTTTACCTATCCTAACTTACTTTTCAATCGAAGTCAACGTTGTAAAACAAAAATTATATTAATAAAAACAGTATCAAAGCTTAACCCTTTCATGCGTTTTATTTTCTAAAAATTGTCTTAAGTAATTGATATTTCTGTATAATGTCCTTTCTGAAATCACTCATATTTCTAGTATGTATCCAAAAAATTGCATTAAAAGACATTCAAAATCAAAACTATTTGTTAAATGAAGCTCTATATATTATCTTCAGTTATTTCTTTTAATCAATAAAATTGAGAATGGAAATGGGGAATGTGTCAAAGAGACAACAACCCGACCATAGAACAGCAAAGCTGTCTTTGGATGCAAAATATCAAAAAAACTTTTACAATTTGCAATATTAAATAATAATCTTCAACATCATTACATATAGCACTAATAAACGTTTTGATTTGATGGAAATGTGTTTATGTTTGAAATATAGACTCTTTAGTTTTCATAATTTGTTAACATTTTTCAAATGTTCATCCCGTACACATACAGGGAAACAGATACCGGGTAAAATATGAAACGAGTTTCTTATAACTATTAGGTTATCGAAATTATTGAACCAATGCGTGCATATAATTATACTAAACTAGCTAAGTGCTGTATGCATGTTTTTTACATTCATTACGAATCTAAAACGTATTATCGATAAATGATATTTCATTCAGCGATTGTTCATCGCAAGCTAATTAACTTTCGAGTTTGTTGTCGAAGTTTACTGGATCATGACATTGATAAAAAAGCAACACAGAGCACGTGAAGCACGTGAAAAATAAGTTAATTGATTGGGCCATGATGTTTTTTTATATTTTCCATGCGTTCCCATTTGTTTATCAAACTTTTCATTAACAGTTTTTAAATGATTTGGTGTATTTAGTTTGTTATTTAAGAATCAGTTATAACTATTTACCTTCCAGTGCACGTGTGTTTACATTCTTTCATCACGGGTTTTTCTGGCACTTGTGCTGTGCGGGGGCCTAATGTCTTACAAGAGGTCTCGTAGTTAAGGTCATTGCATACGGGAAAATATTGGCAAATTATATTACGGGAGGACAATAGTTCTAAAGCAGTACATTTATGAAGATTTTGATAATATGAAGGATTTTCTTTTACGAGTAGGTGTACGTACATATAGTACACTTGTATTATAGTAAAACTAAGCCATTCAAGTATTCAACATATTCAACTTTTGTATTTAAGTTTGAAGTTTTATATGACTTTAACACAATTTTCTATATGCAGAGAGATAGATAAACATTAATCAATTGCTGGCCAATTTCAATTGAATGACGTCTGTCGTCAATTCCCCGGTTGACGGTCGGAGTCATTCGCAATTAAGTTGCGCATGCGCGAAGAAGGAAGACGTTTCCAAAATATATCACATGTTTTATTTTGGATATTTTAAGAGCATTGCTTTAGAATAGGAATACAATCAATTTATTAAATGAGTTCAAGATGTCAATTTTGAATTTGGCGGTGGCAACGGTTCAAATAAACAACTGTTATTTCATATTGTTACTTGTAGCTGTTTTTGTGAGTTTAACAGTCACCACCACCAATTAGTCAAACTATACGATGTGCCTTTGGCTAAACTCACTAGTGACATGTTTTCGAGGTCTTAGATCTTTAGATTCATGAATAGTCGTGTAATCTTTATATCAACCTATTCCCGATAAGACAATTTGACTAAGTTTGGATTCGCATGGCGGTTGTTGTTGCATGCATGGGAGGAGACGTTAACACTACCAACGCGTCCGGTATCGATTTATTTTGGAGTTTCTGCAGTTTCCCCGGTTTTTGTTTTAACTTTGATTTGTATCATTTTAATACATTTTATGAGATTTGCATGATGTCCATCCGGAAAACTACTGTCACCTCTAATGTATGTCTTGATATGGTCATAATTACATATTATCTGTTTACAAAACTTTGATATTTTTCGAAATACTAAGGATGTTCTACCCCCAAGAATCGGTTACCTTAGCTTTATTTGGCGAAACCCTTCAGAATTTTGCTCTTTAACATTGTTTCTAATTTGGCCTTGTAAATTTTTGGTTCGAGCGTCACTGATGAGTCTTTTGTAGTCGAAACGTGAAAATTTTAATCCTGGTATTTATGATGTATTTTATTAGTAATATTGATAAGTTTTTGAATAATGCACGTTTCTAACCAGATTTTTATCTATCTCCTCTATGTACCTTCAATATCATTAAACGAAATAAAAATAAAATAAGGAATGTTGATTATTCAAAAAGGTTGTTCCAACCAATATGTTAATGTACCCACCAAATGCCAAGAAGACCCTGGCAGGTTGTCAATTTATCGTATTGCACTTTTCCTTGCATTAATTTTTGTGCTGATAAGAGATGATAGTTCCTGCTGAATAAATTCGTACAACATCTAAACTATTACGAACTTGGAACATACTGTAACATCTTAATTATTATTCACGAACGTATTTTGATCCTCTAAGTTTTTGTGTATTTCTAAATAGATTTATGAGATTTGAACATCGGTAAACTATTTCTACCTTTAATTTTTTACCTCTTGGTGTAGGTGATTTGCATGCTAGATTATTTATATTAAATAAATACATGATTTTAATACTTATGTTACTTGTTATTAGGTGATAATTAACCATGGTAGAAGTTGTTAGTGGAACAAGAAGATGCAGGGAAATTGTTGGTCAATTGGAACAATACAAAGTCATTTCTGTTGACGCTGAAGGTATTAATCTGGGAAAAGATGGACCGTTGACGTTACTACAGATTGGGACCATCGATGGACATGTGTTTTTGTTTGATGTTTGGATCAATAAAAATCTATTTCAAAAAGGCAAACTGAAAGATATTTTAGAGTCCGAGGCAGTTATAAAGGTGAATAGAGCATGAATTGAAATATTTGACAGTCTTTAGATATAAACAGAAGATAGCAATATTAGGGTACAATTAACAACAAGAACTATATTTTAATATCAAAAGACGTCAAAAGGTTGTACTATGTTTCGGCTATTTAAATATTACAGCCCCCTTCATCGCAGAAGAGACATGGTGTACAGGGAAAAAAAGTGATTTAAACGTCAATGAGACAAGCAATCCATCCATGACAATCACCAAAAGACATCAAAGGGCAACATACAACCTCCAACAATAGTCAAGGTCCATATCTTAAGCTCTTATTCGTCTCTAGTCTATAGACTGTTTAAATAAATGAAAGAGAACCAATCAAACATCTCCCACCACCAACACTAAAATATTCAAATAAGAAAGACATTAAGATATGATAAAAAGACAATCCTTACAGAGTTCCTTACTAGGGGCAGACCCATGAATATGCAAAGGGGTTTAACTTTTTTTACTTATTATAGGATTTTACATTATTTTATCTCAGACAATTAAAAAATCTACAAAAGATCGATTACAAAGCAAAGAAAAACACAGGTTTTGTCTTACGATATCATTCAAATGCTAAAGACCTTCATCTTCATTTATGGTTACTCATCGAACAATCGTGAGATTTATGCTACCCACCATAATTTTTGAATGCTCATAATTACAGGTTATGCACTCATGTCGAGGTGATAGTGCTGCCCTCTACTTCCAGTTTGGAGTTTTGCTTGAGAATGTTTTTGATACACAGGTAGGTAATGCTAATGTATATACTTTATTGCGAAATAAATTTCAGGTTATTCGTTAGATCTTAACTTTCTCAGAACAGTGTTGGACTTTTTTTATTATATATTAGTTAAACGTAATAATGTATTGCCTTTATCGAAGAATTAATTTTCGTTCTTCCAATATTTATAGAATAATTTTCTTGGGTAATTTGTCTACATGTGTGTGATGTAACAACACAATTTATTCTTGAAATATATCAGGCCTTTTATGGACTTGAGGTTAGCTACTTGAGTAAAATAGATTCATAAAAATTATAATATTTCAAATTTTAGAAACGTGTAATTTTATAGAATAGTCAATTATTGTATCGGTTGCATTGATAGTGACAGGGTATAATAATGTTTTTGAATTTAAAATGTATATTCCACTCCAGTTGGTCCATGTCAACTCGTACTTTTCAATGCCAATTCGTATCCGATTTTTATGAGGCCTCTCATTTCCGCAAATTTGTATATCTGATAATCAAAAAGTGTAATGGCATGAGTGGGGAGTTCGACCTCTTTTCCATGTCCCTTTTAAATGTCTGCCTCATACCATGGTAGTATTAGTTTGAATGAGTTGAAATTCTTTGTCATGCAGGTAGCTCATTTGGTGATAGAAGAACACAAAGGTCGACAGCTACCCAGGTGTATAAAGTTAGCCGATGCCTGCAAACAGTATTCGGAAAATGCCGAAGTCTCGGAGGATAAAGATGAAATAAAGGTAATTACTGTTTAAAGTATGAGTACCGTTTGAAAACAAATTGTTGCTATAAAGAAATGTGAAACATGTTCTACATATCTATTAAGCTTCTTTATATTTAAACAAATACTCATCATATGCCTGATTAAATTTTGTCGAAAAAACCAGAAGTTAATAGAAGTAATAAAACAGGTTTTAAATTTGTCTTTTCCACAAGATTAGGTGACCACGTGGTTACTTATTTTACATATACCAAAACAATATTTAGACATGGACATAAATATGTATTAAAGAATCAACATATCTGTATCATGATGGATTCTTTGTATTTCTAGTTTTCCTATTTCCTCATTATTGAATTTAAAAATATCTGAAGATAAAACAAAACATTTTACATTACTGTATACTTTATTTAGGAAGTTTTTGCAAAAGAAGACGGCTGCTTTTGGGCAAATAGGCCGTTGACGCAAGAAATGATAGATTATGCCTCTGGCGATGTCACTGCTTTGATTCCAGAAGTATACGAGACACAAAACAAGTAAGTGTTAGTATTATCTTTAAAGGTAAACGGACTCAGGGGATCGACCAATATTACCAAGCAGAATCTACAAAGCTTGAAGGCTAGAGATGACCTAATACGAAGTTGGGTGTTCTATTTATTCTATTCGATGTGTCAATTACCAAACGACTTGTATGTCTGTTTACTTCTAAACTTCTGGTAAAAAAAAACGTTCCTTATAAGAATTTTTCCAGAAACAATTGAAATCATGCCAATTTTGTATATTTTTCTGATATTTCAGAAATCATTTACTTTTATAACTGTCAAAACAAACTTAAAATAAAAAAATGTTAATAATAGTTAAATATGAAAAGGAAATCAACGGATTGTAACGTAAACATACATGTAACCCAAGACTCATGAGAGACATAAATGAGGGTGTGGATTGGAGTTTACAGAAGAGAGAATAAAGGGCAAAAAATATAAAGAATAGAGAAAAATAGACCAAAAAAAAATAAAGAATAAAGAATCATGAGGTGCTAAAATATAAAGAATAGAGAATAATGGGCAAAAAATATAAAGTGGCCTTAAAAATTAAAGAATACAGAAATGAAGGACTCCCCATCTAGATCCATATAAATGTCGGATGACCATTAACGAATACACATTTTTAAACAGCGTCAAACATGTCACCTGTAAATAAAGTATAGTGTAGTCATAAGAAGTTAACACAGTCTATTATACTTTTTGTACTGACACTATCATACAAGGTTCCAAATAATATCTCTTGTTTTTTTACATTCTCTAGGTATTTGAAAGAAAATGATCTACTGGATACATTTCAAGACAGAGTTTACGAAGAGATCACCTGTGCGCATGACAAGAAGCAATCGACGAAACGATACAGACGACAACACAAAGTTGTTAAAGGTATCATGAAAGAAATTCCAAATAAGTATCCATCGGATATAAAATTTGAAGACATAACTGACGAAGATGATATAACAGCAATCCGAAAAACAAAATTCAACACCAAGAATCTGCATCCTATGCTCAAAAGACTGAATACAGAGGCCATTAAAAGTCAGCTACAACACCTTGACCTACAGTTAGCAGACGATGAAAATCCATTTACGCCAAAATCCAGATCGTATGCCTTTTTACGTACTTACCAAAATCATTCCGATGAAGACATACAGACAGAAGCAAAGCGAATTTTAGATGAGATAAACGAAAACATTTTGGACATAATGCTTCAAAAATATGATCCTAAAACAAGTCCGGATATGCTTGCCTTGAACGAAAAGGAGGCTCTCAATACACTGAGACCAAGAGGGGTTCGGGACAAAAAAATACACCCCCTCTTGTTGAATTTTTATTGGCAAATGAAAGTAGAAAATCTAGATTCAACAATTCATGTTTTTCGCGAAAAGGGGTCGGATTACACTATTCCGGAAAATTTTTATAAATGGCTAAAGTTTTGCTGCTCTGGAAAAGTGCCAGAAGAAATGAAATCAAAAGCGAGACGACTTATGAGAAATTTGGACAGAACTTTCGGAAAAGGCGTTGTCCCCGGTCGCCAGTGCACTTCAGATTAAGTATTGTACATCGTTTATCTGAAATAATCTAATAGAACTGAACTGTCTTCGAACAATTATATGAAGCTTATAAGCGTACATATCAATATAGATCTTCTTTTTTTTTATTTTTATAGGAAGGACCAGTCAAGTACAAATTTTTTTGTATGAAATGAATATTTCAGTTTTATCTTAAAGATTTTTTCTATAACTGATTATTTAAATCATTAATTTTATTGTTATTATTATTATTATTACTATTATTATTATTATTATTTTAATTCATAATTATTATTATTATTATTATTATTATTATTATTATTATTATTATTATTATTTGTGCTGTATTATTATTATTATTATTATTATTAGTTTGGTTTTTTTTTTGTATTTTTTTGTACTGTATTATTATTCGTTCATTATTGCATATGTATGACATCAAACCCTCAGGTTACAAAATTAATGTGAATTTGAAATAAAGTTTTATAAAAATATGTTTTTTTTTTCATTATCATTTTAAATTATTATTATTATTATTATTATTATTATTATTATTGAACATGACATAACATTCCAGTTATACTTTACCATTTGTAGAGGGACTTTCCGTTTTGAATTTTCCTTGGAGTTCGGTATTTTCTCAACAATAAAATGCACAATAGCGTATTTATCATTTATAACAACAGAAATTGAGGGTCGACTATTTGTTCCGAATGTATAATCAGCCCAGTTGCCCAGTAATGTCATGAAAATAATGTTTGAGAGATATTTGCATCGATAAAACGAATTGTCAATTATGAAATGTATCTGAGCATAGCTGGTTGCTAATCCGGATTTCCGAAGAAAAAAAATTAAATAATGAATTACCTCACAGATTTACTAACCCGTGTATTTTCTTTTCGTGTGCATGTTGAAATTAGAACATAAAATGTTAACCTAGACTGGTTCCCTGTCCTCTGTCTGTTTGGCTCTGAGATACCCGTGTGTTGCAAGGGAGAGGACCAGCCTAATGTTAACCATACACGATATCTACTTAACTATTCGATAATAAAACTGATTTTATTGTACACTTTGAGTGACTATAGACAATTATAGGGTCTTTGCATCGGAATTAAACACATTTATTCTAAAACCAGTTGTTGGCATGACACGGGTTATGTTCTTCTCATATATTTTATGATGGTATAATACTAAACCCCTAACAGGAAGGATTGTGCCTGATATTCATATGATGAAGAGACATAATCTTTCAATCAGTTTAATTGAGGTCTGGAGCTGGCATCGTCAGTAACTGCTAATAGTCTGTTGTTATTTATGTATTATTGTCATTTTGTTTATTTTCTTTTGTTTCCTATTCTGACATCGGACTCGGACTTCTCTTAAACTGAGTTTTACTGTGCGTACTGTTGTGCGTTTGTTTTTTCTACATTGGCTAGAGGTATAGGGGGAGGGTTGAGATCTCAAAAAACATGTTTAACCCCGCCGCATTTTTGCGCCTGTCCCAAGTCAGGAGCCTCTGGCCTTTGTTAGTCTTGTATCATTTTAAATTTAGGTTTCCTGTTTATAATTTGGAGTTTAGTATGACGTCCATTATTACTGAACTAGTATACAATTTTGTTTAGGGGACGGCTGAAGGACGCCTCCGGGTGCGGGAGTTTCTCGCTGCATTGAAGACCTATTGGTGGCCTTCAGCTGTTGTCTGCTCTATGGTCGGGTTGTTGTCTCTTTGACACATTCCCCATTTCCATTCTTAATTCTAATATTTCTTTTTAAACAAAATTACTTGTCCAGGCGTATTTTAGTTATTATCAATCTAGCAAATCTTCAGTCTGAGAACAAAAAAATAATCACACTAGTTTTACGTTTTGTCTATTATTACTGTGTAATATATACATGAAAAGCCTCTAGCCTTTGTTAGTCTTGTATTATTTTTAATTTTAGTTTCTTGTGTACAATTTGGAGTTTAGTATGGCGTTCATTATCACTGAACTAGTATATATATTTGTTTAGGGGCCAGCTGAAGGACGCCTCCGGGTGCGGGAATTTCTCGCTGCATTGAAGACCTGTTGGTGGCCTTCTGCTGTTGTCTGTTCTGTGGTCGGGTTGTTGTCTCTTTGACACATTCCCCATTTCCATTCTCAATTTTATGATACAATTACTTTCTTCATCTGGAGATAGTTTCGATTTCGATTATTTGAAACCTACGAAACAAATCTGGGAATTTCCAACGTAATTTCATATATTATGTGTATCGGCATGTTTACTGAAAACGTGAACCCAAAGATTTAATGTTGATTGCATATACTAAAAATATTAAAACCCTATCGGAAATTTATAATCTATAAATAGCAATACATCAGCACTTATATGACTCATGATCACTCATGCACAGGTTGTAAAAAAATACTTTGTTTAAAGTATATGATTTATATTTGTGGCCATACGGGTTAGACATACTTCTTTTGCACTCATGTTTCTTCGTCTATTTCGTGACACTTTTAACATGTATAGTCTTCTTCTACCCAAACATTTTGGAAATAGGTCTATTCGAAAAAGAAATTATGAATTAACTGAAAATTATCATTATTATATATGCAACTTTTGCGTCGTTGTCTTAAGTGAACGTTTGAAGAAATAACAGACAGGGAAAATAGAGACGGACAAGATAGACTGGTTAATTTTTAGTTTGTTTATCGTCCAGTGGCAAATGTTTCATGCAGGTTCAAGACGATATCAAACCAACAATAAATCTTATATAATATATAATAAGAAGGTTCGTCAGAGTTCATAATAAATTGGCCGGTCTGTCGGCCGATCGGGACATTATTTTCATCGTTTCTTCATTGATTTTTCACCAGGCTCCCAATATTTTTTTTGTAGTCCGCTTTACTTTCTGTGTATTATCTATTTATATATAAAAAGGTCAAATTGTGAGCTATTAATTTTTCATTTTTAGTAGGAAATCGTTGGGCAATTTTGACGTCTATTTCAAAACTTTGTGTTGACATTCTAATTTATGCATTCATGTGATATTGACCTATGGTGTATTTGTCTAAATATATATATATATTATACTTGGTTCTCAATTACTCAAGTATTGACACATTCTTGGCTATCAATGTATTGGGTTTCAGCGATCCTGAAATTCAAGAAAATCGCTTAGGACCAACCAAATAATTTTATATGTAGTGCTATATTCAGTTTGCATCTTCTTGATGTTATTCCTCTTTGTAAACATCTTTATCGTACTTCTGATACATATAAATCAAATATAAGATGGAATATATGAACAATGATGAATAAAAAAATACTAAAATTTGAGAATGAAATTTGTTATTGGAAATGGTGTGCACCAGTTCATATCGAAGTCATCCGTAACTTTGATAATGTAAAGTTTGACGGTGTTCTACTTACTGATGACCTGTTTCTATTTTAAAGTGCAATGGTTAACTGTTTATGAGATTGATAAAACGTATATATTTTTTGAACGGTTTGCGTTTTTATGATATTTGAGTGCCTGAATCGATCGTATGTCTCATCTGTGTCAAATGTATGAGGGAGATGATCTATATCCAACTTATTAAGTGTTATGTACAGTGACAAATAAGGGCCAGCTATATTTTTATTATTATAACAATTCTTATGTATTCATCCTTCTGAAATTTCGATGTGTGTTTGACTCCCGACCTGAAATCTTAAATGTCATAAACATAAATATCGAAAACCAAATACGGTGAAAAGGGGAAAGGGGGGGGGGGGGGGGGGTGTGGTTATATTACAGTAAATGGTGTATATGTACAAGCAAACAATCACTCTAAATAGAAAAACGTATCTATGTTTTATATACAATACATAGCTTCACAAATATATCAATGCATTTGAGGTTGGAATTGATGCAGTTTGTATACGTTTTAGAGGTGTCGCCCTTATAAGCAACATGCAAACGTGTAAAATGAAAAATGAAAGCACTCGCAAGCTTCTGCAATGTTATAATTCGCCAAGAACAGTGTTCACCAATAGTTGGTGCAGTTACCCTATTATGTTACAAACGTTTGATCATAATAATACATTACAAAACGTAATTTTAAAATCGAGTTGTCTTCCTTTAATCAGAAAGATCATTTACAGAACCTATGTGTATGATATCAGCTACTAGTAATACATTTTTTGGGACAACTATCAAAAGAGGGGCGAATCAAAAGTTAGCTTAGTAATTAGCCTTGTATAGATCTTGACGAAGGGTCAGTCTATATAAATGTATTTTATTCATTGCACAAAATCTATTCTTTCGGTACTGTTTTGACGCTACGGTATTTAATTTATTCTGAAGTACAACCACAGATATTAGAGTGTACAAAAGCAGGATATCATTTCAAATCAGAGGATTAAGTACGTTTAGCTTGATTCAGTACCTGTGAGCATTTTGTATACGATATAATTGGGGCTATTTTGATTTTATTAGTACTTTTGGGGTTTTTTCTTTGTTATCGTGAATACCGTATTTTTTTTTCTTGAATTGAGTTTTTTGCATGTACATCTGCTGATCGAGTTTAAAAGACATATCGAGCTCTAAAACAGCTAGTTTAACCCCGCCATTTGTGGGTGTGCTTGGTCCAAGTAACGAACTAAGCCAGTGGCAGATGTCCTATAAGAATCTTTTTGTTATTTGGAGAAATGTTCATGTTGATGTCATATCTCTTCATTTAAAAGTGTTTATACTCAGGGCTACATATAGAGCTTGTTTTTTTTTTAAACAAATCAGGACCCTTTAGTGTTATCGTTTCAATTGTTTTACATTTGTCATTTCGGGGCCTTTTATGGCTTGCTGTGTGGTTTGGGTTTTGCTAATTGTTGAAGACAGTTCGGGTGACCTATAGTTGCTTACCTTCTTCTTTATTTGGTCCCTGGTGGAGAGTTGTCTCATTGGCAAACATACCACATTTTCTTATTTTTACATTGGCATATTATATAATTACCTGTCTATTGTTGAAGACTGTACGTTGTCCATTACATGTGTGTTATTGTATGCCGTCTATATATATATACCACATCTTCTTTTATACATATACATATCTAGTGTAAGATATACATTAACTTGTTTTAATCGGGACAGCTTACTATTGCCTGATATTCATTATAGTGGTTGGTTATAGTTAATAGAATGTGGAGCTTACATGTAACACAGTATTCAACATAGCTAACAGCTAATAGTCAATAGCATGTTTACGTCAGTAGGCGGACCTTAGAACAGTTTTTTTTTTTGCATTATCAAAGCGCTTTGAAGAAGGAATAATGCAATCAATCTGAAGTAGAAACAACATGAAGTTAAGATGCTACATAAAGCCTTTCAAGAATGTCGACATGTTTCTTCCGTTTCATACTTAAGTTCAAATGATGGATATATTGATATTATTTGTTTACTTGTTTGGTTAAAAAACGATGTAAAAATTGTAAGAATAAGAATAATGTTGTTTAAGGCACTGAACATGCAAAA